CGGCCGAGGGATGGGCTGCGCTCCTAGTATCCACGTCTCGCAGAGCGGTGTGATCTACTGCCGGGACTCGGAGGAGTCCAACTCGCCCCGCCAGACCACCAGCGTGTCTCCGGGCCCCGCGGCCGCCCTGCACGGCCTCTTGGTCCAGACCGACGCCGCCGACGCCTTACCTCCGAGCCGGGTGTCCGGACCCCAGGGCGCCGCCCGCGTCCGCAGGGCCCGTGGCGAGCTGGGCAGCGGCAGCAGCGCGGGCTCAGCTGCCCGCGCGGCGACCACCTGCAGGGGCCGGAGGCGCCACTGCTGCAGCAGTGCGGAGGCCGAGACCCAGACCAGCTACACCAGCTTCAAGGTAAACGCCGGGCGCTGGCCCGGTTGGTGTTGGGGGGTGGGGGGGGGGGCGCGGCCCGTCCCGTCCGGGCGGGGCTTGCGCGGGTAGGGGGCTCCGGAGGAGCTAAGTGACCGTGCAGTGACGCTGGGGATTCGCAGGAGGCTAACACTGAGGAGGAGTTTACTTTTCATTTTGGGGGGTGATGGGGGCCCAGGGAGACGTGAACAGAGAGACCCCTGGAGGGGTCCTGGGAGCTCATTCTGGGGGAACGGGTGGAAAAGGGAGCGCAGTGGAAATCAGGTGGGCCGGCCAGCTTCTCATGGAAGCGAGGAAGGCTGTGGCTGGGTTAAAGGAGGAGGAGGGGTGGATATCATCGAGAGCATTTAGTGGCGAGTACGACTGAATGAAATCTGAACAACGGGCTAGATTTGCGTGTCTCATGGGTGAAGTGCAGTACCCGTGAAGGGTTACGATAGTGCCTCCTATTCAGATTTTTACCTGGGAAAACTAGCCAGGCTGCTTGGCGTCTTAGACACGGGGATCCAGTGTGGGGATTTGTGAATGGATGAGGGTGTTTCTGTTTGGTGGAGAAATGTTGGAAGAGAATGGAGGAAAAGAGTGGAACCTGTTGTTTGTCACTTCTCTGGGTTGGCTGCATCCTGCATAAAATCGAGAGAACTGAGTGGAGAGTTTGAGTGTCAGTTGAGCTACATTGAAAGGGAAGTGGTTCCAGTGCAGTGCAGCTGTTTGAAGAGGAAGATTCTGTACACACATCTCATCTTTCAGGAGGGTAGAATTTTGAGGAAGTGGGGAAATGGTTGAAATGATTAAAGCAGTCCCTAGATATTTCTTAATGACAACAGGAAAATTATTGTTTTAATAGTGCCCTCCTGTATGTTCTCAAACTGCTGCTCAATCAAAAAAAGGTTTCATTGTGTAAATCTGGCCACTGGGCCTTTTATTCTTGTAGGAAACAGAATGACAAGTGCACATTCCATTGTGCACAGCAAAGAAAGTACCTTCCTATGATTCTTAATGTTAGACAGAATCACAGCTTTTACATGGTCAGTAGGTTACCAGGAACCATTCCATTATTTGGCAAAGGCACACAGTATATTTAATACTTGTAAAGTTGTTCGACAAATGATCTAAATGAGGAGGCTCTTAGTCTTCATTGCGTAAAGACTAGGAGGCTCTTAGTCTTCATTGCGTAAAGTCGCCACTCACTGGAGGGGTGAAGAGAAGGATATTCCGGTTTCAGTGTGAAAGACCAAAAGTTCCTTTTAGTGACATCATTTTAATAGCATCTGATTTTGTAATTTGAAACTTAGCTAATGTTTACTTATAGTAATGGGATTTCTCTGATAATTATCACTTAATATAATATAATCATCATTAAGATAAAAAATGCCATTTATTGAACACCTACTATGTGTCTGGTTTCTTCTGGCTTTTGAATATCAACTGTAGAAGGATAGACTATCTAAAGATTAGAGACCAGGATTCATGAATATACAATCTACCAATTGAACATTTGTTATAAAGGCAGTGTGATCACTGTATTTTTCTTTTGTCAAGCTTTGTCTGTTTTTATACTCCAGTTCACATAAAATTAGTGTTAGGAGCAGGTGCAAGGTTTTAACATGTATTTGGTGAAATAGTTAAATTGGGTTGTTACTAATAAAGACTACCCTTTTGTCTTCCTGTTGAAAGGAAGTTTGAAGGCATGAAACAGTAGTTCAGAATAGTGACAACTCATGAACTCTGTGATCCTTTTTTGGTTGTTAAGAGTAATTGTGTATTTTTGTCTTTCCAAGTAGCAAGAATCTCAATTTAGTACCTGGCAACTTTAGCTACTCCATGTTTGTTCAACGAAAGAAAGAATAATGAATGAACTCATTCTCTATGTTTTAATACTTCCCTCAAGAGGCTACTTAGAGACCAAATGGAGTAAAAACTGGAGGGAAAACGAGTCCCAGTTATTAACAGCTAGTATAAACTTGTATAAATATCATTGCTACTTGGCTGAAGTGTTAAAAGACTTGTCCTGGATAGGAATTTAACTCACTCTGTTTTATCAACAAGATTTCCAAATAAGAGCTTAATTCATTCCAACTCATTACTAGGAATGTTGGGAATGAAACTGCTGGTTAAGTGATTCAACACTAATTTGCTTGTGTAGATCTCAAAAATTATAGATTTGAAATTAAATTTAAAGCCCAAATTATTACTTATACAAATCATACAGAATTATTATCACTGAATTGCTTTAATATATGTGTTAGTGTCCTGTTAGGACTTGTTACTCAATTTTATATTACCTTTTTTCAATCTTAACATGTTTCATACTCTTGTGGTTAAGTAGTTTTATAAAACTTTTACTTTCATTTCTTTCTAGAATAAAAATTTTTTGCTAAGAGTTCGAGATAGCTGTTAATCATGACACTCCTCCAAAATATACAAGTGAAAAAGTAAAGTCTTTGCCATTTTGTCCTGTTTACAGTGCTAGTGGGTTGTAATAGTGTTTTTTTTTAATTCCTTTTTATACATCAATTATAAAGTCTCTCCTCATTATCTACTTGGTCCCCAGAGTGCAAAAATGTGTGCTTGATCTCTCCCTCTCTTTTCTAGCAATAATTCATCTCATTAAGCTTTTAGAATGATGAAGCATTATGATGTCAAACATGATGTCAACAGGAACCTTCCTGAATACCTAATTTACAAAAAAATATATAAACATTAATAATTTATCTGTAGTACATTGATATCATATGGGTTTCCATTTCTGGTAAGAAGACACATTTGTCTCCCAATTGCTGTAAAAAAATGCAACTTCCTAGCAATTCATCTCCGTGTTTGCCTTTTTAAAAATAGTACTCCAACAGGAGAATCCTACAGAATGCTCACTCCTGATATTGTGCCAGTTTTGTAATTCTTGCTCAGAAACTCTCAGAGGAGATGGTTGAACCTCTCCCTGGGATGATGTAGGGGTTCTTACAAGTCTTCTTTTCTTCTACCAGCTGTTGCCGCTTGGGAGGCATCTGGCATTAGGCAGCCAGTTGTAAAAGTCTTCATGGACAATGCAGTCAACTCACAGGTTAATGATCTTGTGGGTCAGGCATAGGAAGTTGCTAGTTCCCAGATGATATTGTGCTGATATAGACATTTTTTCAAATGTCACATGTCCCATACTCTTTTGAGGGTGAGGTTATTTTATAAACATTGACTTTCATTTCTTTTTAGAATAAGAATTTTCTCTCTGGCACCCCTGCAACCCCTCCTTTTTTCATTACCCCCACCCTTCACTGTGCACATTTATTCACTCAGCCAGTCCTTATGCCAGGCTTTGCTATAGGTATATGCGACGGATTCTGGAATATCTATAGAGCTTGGTAAACAAAGTCTAATGAGAACCGTGGCAAATCTATTGCTAAAGGGTGTGCCTGAGCCAGTGATTAATGTCTTCTACACTATCCATTTCATGATTTTCCAGAACTAGTGGTGGTAATCCCAAGTTGGAGTTGACTGTATATAAAGGAAAATGAATGTATGTATTTTCTACTCTTGTGGTAAATAATTAATGAGATTTTGGAAGGGGGGAGTGCTATTTTGAAAAAAGTGACTTTTGTTTGTTTCTCTAAGTTGGTATTCTCAAACTTTTGCATACATGAGAATCACCTATAAGGCTAGTTAAACTATAGATTGCTGGGCCCCACTCCCAGAGTTTCTGATTTAATAGGTCTTAGGTGAGGCCTGAGAATTTGGATTTCTAACTGCCTTCTAGTTGATGCTAGTGTTACTGATTTGGGGACAACGCTTTGAGAGCGATTGCTATTGAAGTGATTGTCTGTTGACCAGATAAATTAGGTGGGACTGGCCCTCCCTGGTGGCGCAGCGGGTTAAAGCACTACACTAAGAAGCTTAAGCCATTTCCGCATGAGTTCGATCCCTGCCTGCCCCGGAGGAGATCCACATGGCATGGCAGACCTCTCCTGACCCGCCCGCTGCTCCCCTCAGCAGTGTACTTCGTCGATCTGCCTGTTCTGCTCCCTACTCTGTTCCTGGTGAATCCTCTCACCCTCTGCATCTCTGGCCTGTACCCCAGTTCTGTATGAATAAATAAATAAATCTTAAAAAAAAATTAGGTGGAACTTCCTGCAGTAGACTGTAGAGTTCCTCATTGCATCTTTTGGAGTTACTATTGCAGCCCTGCCTTCATCTTTATTTCCTTTTGGGTGAACAATTTGTTATTCATTCATGAAGTCAAAACTCTGAGCCTCTGAGGTTGACTGAAAAGTCTCTAAGTAGAGAGAAGATTGGACCTTGTCTTCTAGTATGCTTTTTTGAGGATCTGCTTCCATTTAGGATCCACTGGGATTTGCAGGTCCTAGTGTATTGCTTTGCCATCACAGTCCCTTATGTGTCTCAGCCTTTCCAGGGTCCTGTCCTGCAAGATGAGAAATTGCCAGGCAACAGAGGAGCTTAAAACAGCGGCTAACATGACAAGATAGATGTTCATATTCAGTCTTAACCCTTGCCCCGTAGGTCCAGTGAGAGGAGATGGAGTCCAGAGTCTAGGGAACCAGCAGATTTGGGGAGGAGCAGGTGAACTCTAGAACCAGATAGTAAAGTCAATTCTAGAACTCGGGCTCAACAAAGATAACAGCCAGTTACTTTTGAACTAGTTTTGAGAGTTTTAACTGGGAAACACAACTTTCTGTTCTATTTGGGGTTCTCTGCTGAGTGTGAAGAGCTCAGGGCCCACAGGTGTTGGTGACCAATCGGGGCTGTGAGGAAACCCTACATCTAGGTGAGGGCCAGCCAACCCAGCCAAGGCTTTCCTCATGCCTGCTCAGATAGATCTGGGTAAGAAACAGATTGCATAGTTACAGGCTTTAAATGGAATATAATGTCATCAAGGGACTATTTCAGATGAAAGGAAGTCAACAAACCCTGCAGAAACATTTTAAGACAAAAAAAAAAAAAAAGCAGTTCTGTTGCCATCTAAAATAGGCACTGGG